CGGTTGTATGGTTAGGTAGGTACAACAAAACTCGTAGCGCGCACGAACCGTAAACGGAAAAATTTTGTATGCCTCCCAGCGTTCGACTTGTTCAAAGATTTTTTTGCACTAAAAGTGAATAATAGTAAATAAAGCACACACAAAATTTGCCCGAACGAACGGCCGGACCAAAAAAAAATAAGGTTCAAAGCTGCTCTCAATATATTTATTTATTTGTATTTACTTAATTCGACAACGACGCGCGCAGCAACCGCTCGGTTCAAAAAAAATTTTGATAATGTGGGCAGTGTGACCGCGGACCCACTGATAAAATATACGGTCTGACGAATTCAAGTTCTATTATACATATTCCTCGATTTTGATATTCCGTCGAGTATTACCAGCTATATAGAACATTTAGCCATGACTACTTAGTTTTATACGATTGATGAATCAATTTTCTACAAGATTGGATGGTTTTTAATCCTTGCTTTTATTGTATTTTGACTAAAACAACGTTTAAACAAAATAGTTCAACAAAAAATCAGTCGCAATGTTGCTGGTATTTGAAGACATGATGCGTGTATAGCCCTTTGTACACCCTATTTCGCTAATTTTATATGTAGATCACACGCAATTTATTAAGACCTTTTCTCAAATTGATATGTTTTTGACTTATTCATGTGTATTATAAGTATCTTGTATATATTTATCTCTATCCTGATACCTACTGAGCCTTGGAAGACAAACGTATTCACAATTCTATAACATTCATTACCCCCAGGGTATGTGTGCATGGAATTAGCAACATGTTTGTGTATGGAATGAGACTCATTGTTGCAAAAGCGAAACTGCGGCGAATCGGGTATTGCCTATATTTCAAGCTATATAGATTTGCCCACTTAGCTTTATCCCATAGATAAATGCATTTTCTACAAGATTGCTTCTTTTAATTACCTTTATGTATTTTATTTTGACCAAAAAACGGTTTTCAAGGAAATGTTGCCGCAACTTTAGTGCATGGAATGAGACTCATTGTTGCTAAAGCGAACTGGGGCGAACTGCGGCGAATTCAAATTCCATTCATTTAGCACTAAAAAACACCACATGGGAGCGCGGCGAAAACCAGTTTCTACAGTATGACCCTCAGAACAGCACCGAAACATACCGTCTTATTTTCAAAATATACCGTAAACATACCGATCAGAAACAAGAACTTAGCCCACTTAACCCCCCTTTATTTAAAAAGGTGATCCACTCTAGTGTATCTGGCAATATATGTCTGTATGTAAATTCTTCTTGTGGATCCATTCGTTCTCTATACTTGAAAACACATATTGCCAAGATATCGTTTACCTGGACTGCGCTAGAATTCTTAAATTTTTAGAATAACCAAGGACTTTATTTTCATACCCACTGGTCGATAGTGGGTTAATCGTCCATGATCGGATATTATATTCAAATCATGGTATTATGTTATGCTATTACTTAATGGTTACGGAGTACTCTTGATATATATTGATGTAGAGTATGACTGCCACTATTACATTATTACTGACTATCAATAATTTGTTCTACTCTGTTCTTTACGTGCAGGAAGTGTTATTCGGATCGACAGAATAGATCCACCTGAATAACTTTAACATCGGGGATTTGCAGAATATTTACCCCAGCAAGGACAGCACTCTTTTTATAAATTTGTAGCAAATAACCAGGTCTTTCCTTCAAATTAGCTATAGCTAGATCTCTTCTAGATCAATCGGCAGTAAAGATATTCTCTCCCTCTGCTCTGGAATACTTGGAGTATAAGAATATCTAATATATGTATTTGGGTGGTATTGTTACAAATATCTCATCAGTTTCATAATGTCCTTTTTCCCAGGGTATTTGAATTGTGGCAATGTGCAGAATGTTGCTGGCTCAAATTTAATGGGGTTGGAGAATTTTTCACCATATCAAAGAACAAACAAAAACCAAAACCTATTCTATGCCCTATGTTCCTTAAAGATTTAAATTTGATAGATTTCTGAAGAGTGTTGGTTAGCAGCGAATTGAAGCCGCGCTTTGGAGGCGGTCACACTAACGGTACTGAGAAAGATCTTTATATCTCCTAAAACTGAGAAACAAATACAAAATTATTTATTCCTAGCAGATTTGATGGCTTTTTTCCTAGCGATTTTATTAGGAAACCATACAAAACAAAACAAAAAATATGTATCGATAGTGTCAAACCCTTTGACCCAATCGATACTATCGATTGTCTGTGCCGCAATTCAAAATTTGGGGGTTTCTTTAACTTTGGAAATGCCGCACGCCGTCCACGCGTTGGGCAATGCTTCAATGCCGTTAAGCGGCGCCTAGTCAACTAATTTTTGGCGATGCCTAGTGGCCACGGGGTGGCAGGGCAGGGAGCTGGTAGCAAGGTGCCCAGCCCACAAATAGTTGGCGTCTCTACTCGCGTTCTATTGAATTCTTAATTTATATTTATGCTTTCAGGCCTTTCTCCCTCTCTCTCTCTCTCTCTCGCTCTCTCGAGGTGCGTGTAGGTGTGCGCCTGCCACCCAGCATAACGGGTGTGTGTGCGTGTGTGTGCTCCACTTGCAGACCGCCGTTGCGCATTTTTCATGAGCATTTTGTCCGCCTCGGGGCCGGGATGGGATTTGATGCACACTGGGTGCCTGCCGCCTCTCTGTATTTGGACGTGTGTGTACGTGGATATAATATATTTTTGTCACCACGACGGCATCTCAGGAATGCGGTGCACCAGAAATAAACCAAGTGCAAAAACCTTTAGCATCAATCTATTAATAATGCTGCATAGAATACATACATACATATCTCCTGCCTCTCGTGGCACTAGCCACACACGCACGCACGCACATACATACATATGTATGTATATAGGAGCGCCCTTTTCTTTACCCCAATCCCTGCCGTATTCTCAACTCCCTCTTGGCTGCATTTCAAGTTTAGCAGATCCGGCTTTTGACCTACGCAAAATGTTTGTCCAAACCGAAAATAGATCGCGAGTCCCGAAAGATTTGGCAACTAATTGCATTTTTAAATACCAAAACTAGATCTGGGATGGTCAGGATTATATGCCACATGATCTTTAATGTCCCTTGAAGCGATAATCGTGGATCATCCAAGCGAGATCCGTTTCGATCGATTCGATTGAACAAAAACTCCACAAAATTGTTGAAATATCTAGGACAATATCTATTCAATTTGTATTCCGATTTACAAAGATGAAACGACAAAATGATTTCATTTGGAAATTTCTTTTTGGAAGTGCAAGTATGTATGTAGGCATTCATCCACCAGTCTAATCTAGGTACAGTAGGGACATTGGGGTCCGGCAGCAGCACCAGAGCCAACACTGCCTTCCATACTGCCGTCTTCGTCGCCGCCACCGGCAGTGCCACCGCCACCGCCACCACCACCGCCGCCCTCGCCATCCATTTCCGCACTGCTGCGATAGTCATCGATGATGGCCTGCAGCTCCTGCTGGGCATCGATGAACTCCTGCTCCTCCATGCCCTCCCCCGTGTACCAGTGGAGATGGGCCTTGCGGCGCAGCATCACCGAGGAGCCGTCGAGGAGGCGCTGGAAGAGCGTCTGAATGGCGGTCGTATTGCCGATAAATGTGGCGGACATCTTGAGCCCGCGCGGCGGTATGTCGCAGATCGCCGTCTTGATGTTGTTGGGTATCCAGTCGACAAAGTTGTTCAGATTCTTATTGCGCATCCCCGTCATCAGTTGGTCCACCTCACGGGGCGACATCCTGCCCCGGAATATGCCGGCGGCGGTCAGGAGTTTACCCTGTCGCAGATCGATGGCGCACAGCAGATTGTTGCTGGAGAAGATCTGCTGGACCAGCTCCGCGACGGTGCCCTTGCTGAACTGCTGCTGCGTGCAGGTGACCAGCGGCGCGAAGCCGGGTATAAGGAAATGCAGGCGCGGAAATGGCACCATGTTCACGTAGATCTTCCTGAGGCCGGCGTTCAGCTGGCCGGGAAACCGGAGGCATGTCGTGATGCCGGACATGGTCAGGGCGACGATATGATTGATGTGCTCGTATCCGGACATTTTGATTTTCAGATTCCGATTGCAGATCTGAAACAGGGCCTCGTTGTCCAAACAGAACGTCAAATGCGAATTGTTCACCAGGGCGGGTGTGCTGAGCAGAGCATTGTAGGGCTCAACCACCACCTGGGACATGTTCGGCGAGGGTATGGTCACGTAGTTGCACAGCAGATTGTCCGGATACTGCTCGACCAGCGCCTCCATGATCAGCGAGGTCAGGCCGGAGCCGGTGCCGCCGCCAATCGAGTGGAGCAGCTGAAATCCCTGCAGGGAGTCGACGGCCTCCACCTCCCGCCTCGTGTTGTCCAGCACCTGCTGCAGGATCTCGGCCCCATCCGTATGGTAGCCGCGGGCAAAGTTGTTGCCCGCACTCTCCGACCCGGCCACAAAGTTCTCGGGCCTGTACAGCTGACTGCTGCTATGCAGCCGCTGGATGGTGCTGGCCTCCGTGTCGATGACGATGCTGCGGGCATAGAACCGCTTGCTCACCGTCGCATTGAAGAAGACATTCATGCGCTCCAGCTGCAGGGGACTGGTGCCCGCGAAACGTCCCGAGCTGTAGTCCACACCATGCTCATGAGATATGACGTGCCAGAACTGCCACAAGAACCACAAGAATGAGGAGGACAGCACGAAGGAGCCGCAGGCACATACTCACCGCATCGCCGATTGCATTGCCGGCGCCACCAATCTGCAGGGTAACGATCTCCCTCATAACGCACCATATACCACACCACTAGCTTAATTTTGAATTTTGGTTTGTAGAAAAAAACGTCCAGACGACAACACTACTGCAGCCTCATTTTGTTGCCCACTTTGCCTATCGTTCGTTCCCTTTTGACACATTTCCCACAGCTCTCCTCTCCCCTCTAGGCAGCCCTGATCAACTATTCTAGTTACAAAAGTTCTAGGTACAAAAACCACCACATTCACAATTCTTACCATACTTGTTACAATTTAATGAGAGAAGAGGAAACCGAGGTTACACAATAGCAAGTTTAAAAAAAAAAGGATAAGCTGTAAGGAAACTAGCAAGGGACTGCCGTTCCATTCCTCAAAGGTAGATGATGGGAAGGGGGCGGGGGCGAGGGGACATTTGCTTTGTGCTTTTGTTTTTGTTATACCGATTCTTGCTATTTGTCCTTCTTCTCCGCGGACAACGAATTGTACAGACGGTTCACCTCGTTGGCCACCAGGTTGTCCAGTATGACGCCATTGGTGTCGATGAAGGCCGCACAGGACTTGGCGCTGTTCAACTCACGCTGGCCCTTGGAGTCGCGCACGCTCAGGGTGAGCAGATACTTGTCGTCGTACTTCTTCATGTCAGAGCTCGCCTCCCAGGTGCGCTCCTTCTCCTTGTGCACGGCCACCGCGAAGGTGCCCTTCTCGCGGAAGCTTGTGTGGAGCGTCAGCACGCCCATTAGGGCGAAGTAGGCCAGCACGCTGAACATCAGTACGGAACGGGACTGGGGGAACGGATGGGTGTAGTCCCAGGCATGGGCCATGATGGCCACGCCAACGGCCAGGGCGCACAGGGCCAGGCGAGTGTTGACCAGACCGAACTGCTCCTTCAGATGGGGACGATCCCCCAGCAGGCAGGTCTTTACGGCATCATCCAGGGCGTGCTTCACCGCGGACCCGTCCCACTTGTTTACCTTCACCAGCTGTCGAATTTGCAAGAAAGGATTTTCCATTAAAAACATAACACAACACAACACATGACGTGTACAATAGAATTATTTCGGCCAGCGACAGCGGCTAGCCGGCACTAAGTTTTCGGTCATTATTCTGCCAATTATTCTTACCTCCTCGCCTGGCTGTGATTTGTCCTCCTTTTTGGTCATTGTGGGCGGTTCTGCTGTTCGGTTAGAGCGTTGCGGAATGTGAAAATTTAATCAAATCAGCTTGAACAAAGTTTTTCCAAGCGCTTCCTTTTTTTTGACACGACAACAAAATATTACAGCCGGACTTATCGATAGGATGTACCGACCGTATATATCGATGAAAAAACGAACTTAGCCCACTTAACCCCCCAAAATTTAAAGAGGTGAACTACTTCAGTTAAGCCGCGGGATATTATACTGTATATAAATTCTTCTTTTAGATCCATCCTCACTTTGCTTAAAAAATTACCACGATATCTATCGCCTGAACTAATCTTTTTCGTTTTTAATCAGCTACAGAAAATCACGGATGGCCGTGACAATGTGCCACAGCGTGTTCCGTTTCCGAATTTGACATTGACTTTGTTTCCAAAACGAATCCTTGTCTGTCGGTCATGCTTTGTTTTTTATGTTTCGATAATCTACTCCGCTCAAGTATCATTCCAAAATTGTTTGCTCTGTCCGAGAAAAATAGCTTGTTCAGCTTGATAGTTATATGGGGTACCTCGCCGTGTGCCTCACGAAATTCGTCCAGCAGACGGTAGTAGTGCTCCGTGGCTATCGGTTCAGTGCTGGCCTTACAATTGGCATGGTCCTCGCTTTCCTCCTCGAGGAGGAAATTCTTCTACTGCGCGAGAGCATAGGGCAGATTCTCAATATTCCCTGGGCTCTGCTGTCCGATGCCCTCACGCAGTACAAGAATTTCCTTATTGAAGGGGGAAGCTAGGACCACGCAAATTGCAATGCCAGCAGTGATCCCATAGCCATATGGGGGACCTCGCCGTGTGCCTCAGGAAATTCGTGCAGCAGACGGTAGTAGTGCTCCGTGGCTATCGGTTCAGTGCTGGCCTTACAATTGGCATGGTCCTCGCTTTCCTCCTCGAGGAGGAAATTCTTCTACTGCGCGAGGGCATAGGGCAGATTCTCAATATTCCCTGGGCTCTGCTGTCCGATGCCCTCACGCAGTCCAAGAATTTCCTCCTCGAGGAGGAAAGATAGGACCACGCAAATTGCAATGACAGCAGTGAGCCCATAGCGACGGAGCCTTACCACCGGCTGTTGGACGAACTGTCTGGGGCATACGGCAAGGTCCCCCAGATAAATCTTAAGCTGAACAAGATATTCCTCAAGTGGCTGGACGAGAGCGACTACCTTCATTCTCAGAGCGGAGATTCAACGGTGAGAGGCAAAATCCACATCACAGGCTTCCACTCAATGCCTAACCCCAAACTTTCTTGCAGTGTCTCCCACTCCAGCTGCGACGGATCACTTTCCAATTATGGGTGGACTTCCTACTGCACGTCAACAAACTCATGGTCGGCACCTGAAGAGGAGGCATTCGGAAAGGTCATGTCGGTCAATGGGGAGCAACAAAAGACGCTGGACGAGAACCGAAACCTGCCCAAGGACCAAGGACCAAGGACTGCACAATCATCAAGTTCCTACAGAATGCCTATCACCGGAACATTTGGGACACGGACAGCTTTTTACTGGAGACCCAACTGTCCACCAGTTGCCGAACATATTCTGCGAGCAGCTTCATCCGATTCCGGCATTCCTCCACGGACTGGATTTGATGTCTACTGTGCATAAAGTATCTTCAGAATTTGGCTCTCCTGCTCATCTTTCACAGAGAGTTTATCCAGAAAGCAAGAAGCCACCAAAACCCCGGCCCTCTCCATTTCTTCCTTCGGCATCTTGGAAAACGGCACAGGCTGTAGCCCATTCGCAAGGCAATCCGTGATCTTCTGTAGCTGATTAAAAGCCAATGGCAACAAGCTATTAATTGACCTCATTTTGTGTTCTATTTATTTATATTCTTGTGTTGATCAGTTTTGTGTTGTATTCTATTGTTGTATGCAGTTACATGCAAAGCGTTGAATGGCTCTTGACGACGCGGCGGTAGCCGAACGCCAGAGCCGAAGACCCTGGGATCCAGTTTCATGTGTTCGATGTGCTGTATGAACTGGCACATCTATATACTGTATGGTTAGTGGTTCCATAAACCATTCGTTTTTTTATGGTTCGACAATGGGTTAGTCGTTCTCTGTCCATGATCCCAAATCATATTCCTTCATTTTGATTTTTCGTTTAATATTACTTGCTAGATGGGACCCTCAGCACTCAACATAAATTGGCAATTGATAAGTTCTCCCTTTTATTGGATTATTTATAAAATATGGCTTAAAAGGTCAACAAAAACATCCACTTAATAAACTTTGCTACATGGTATCTACACGTTTTGCTACATGTAAACTGCATACGAGAAGAAGACAACAAACTTGAACTGGAACCGGACCTGGAACTGGCAAAAAGTTCACAGAAATTAATATTCAAATATTCAAATGCTGCGAAGCCCCCATAGCATTATGCAAGTATATACTTATATATAGTAGACTTATGTCCACATAAGCGCAAGTCAAACGCTTTTCCTCCGTCCCTTCATTACCAGAACAAAACAGAAGCTTCTGCTGTTGGTATTGCAAATTTATTCGCTACCCTTTTTCAAACAACGTACTCGTCTCATATTTACAACGCATCCACTCCGTATCCGTACCAGTTACCTCAAGCTAACAGCATTTTTCTGCCCTTTTTCGAGGAAAGCGTTGTTCTGGAAGGTCTGTCCATAGATGACAGGACATTTCGTTTTCTGCGGGTCCAGATAAGGTACCAAGTTGCATCTTAAAACACTGTTCCCAGTCCCTTTGCAAACCCTTGAACTTTCTCTTCAACCTCTCCTTGGAACAGTCTTGTCTCCCAGTAATTTGGAATGAGTCCTACATCATTCCACTTCAAAAAAAAGGTTCAAGATCAAACATTGAAAACTATCGTGGTATCGCAAAGCTTTCCGCCATCCCGAAGCTTCTTGAGTTCCTGGTCACCCGGCAACTGCAACATCTTTGTTTTAGCTTGATATCTCCGTCGCAACACGGTTTTTTCAGACATCGTTCAACATCGACTAACCTTCTTGAGTTTTCTAACCTAATCCACCGTGGTTTTCAAATTGGTTTGCAGACGGATGTAGTTTTTACGGACTTCAGCAAGGCATTCGATTCTGTGAACCATGCTTATTCACAAGCTCTCTTTATTACTTAGGGTTCCCAACGAATCTTCCTGTATAGAAGAGAATCAACTAATCTTCTTTTCTGAACCTTTCCAAATGCAAACTTATGACATTTTACCGTCGTGCTCCTCATTTTGTCCCATATGTTCTAGGAAATCATGTCCTTGAGCGAATTTCGAGTTCAAATGACCTCGGAGTCCTTTTTGATCATAAGATGTGTTTTAACACCCATATAGCTGCAACTGTAAATAAAGCTAAGGGTGTTTTAGCGTTCATCAAGCGTTGGTCCAAGGCGTTTGACAACCCGTACGTTACGAAAAAACTGTACATCTCGTTGGTACGTCCTATATTGGAGTATTGTTCTTGTGTGTGGAGCCCGCAGTATAAAGAGCAGCAGGCTGTTGTTGAATCCGTGCAAAAGCAATTTTTAATTTTTGCCCTCCGGAACTTAAACTGGGACTCGGGTAGAATCTTGCCACCCTACCGGTCTAGGCTAAATCTTATTGACCTGCCGTCGTTGCACCATCTCAGAATATGCAATGGCGTAATGTTCGTGCACAAGCTCCTTCTCGGGACTGTTGACTCCCAAACTCTCTTGGGTTAGATTGACTTGGCCGTTCCATCTAGACCTACCCGTACTTTTAGGCCTATCCGTCTACCCATATGTAGGTCTAATTATGCTGATCATGAACCTTTTAGGGTTTTATGCCATAATTATAACTCCCTCTGTCAAACCCTATCCCCTGAACTGTCTCTTAAACTAATTGCATGCAATATTTATAATCACTTAAATTTAGCTAAGGACAAAAAGGTGAGTCCATTACGAAATATCGCCTACTATATATGAAAGTAGGAAGGTGTATGCCCTTGAGAGGGAAACAAGAGTGAATAAACTAAACTTTTTAAAATTGAAAATCAGTGAAAAAATATAAAAAACTGATATATCAAAAATATATTTTTATACTGAGTTGTTTTTTCTTACGATTGGAAAGCCTTGGAAAAATCACGAAGCCTGCAAATGGATACTGTTTATTTTGCTCCTAGAATGTTTGTATAAATTGATAAATTTTACATAAATTGTCCTTTTATTTTCAACATTCAAATACAAAAAAAAAAATAATTGTGTACAAAAATAATTGTTAAAACGAGGGGGAACGCTATGAGTTGCTGCGGACACCGCAACTCTACAGTTATACCGGATACTAAGTCAGTATGGCTCTCCGCCGGCAGACGCCGTTAATATTAAACGACACGACAAAGAGTGCGTGCGAGAGAGACAGAAAATCAGTCTGAGCGTGACGTCGGGCGCTGCGTAGCCACTGCAAATTGATTTGTTCCTTTTGGCTGATCTGATCCAGATTCAGCAATCTGATAGATATGGTCGTTATCTATGATTCTGCGTTTTTAGTTTTCTCGAATCTGCAATATTGTGGATGCAACAGATTTTCGTCCTTTTGGCGGGGCGAAGTTTTGAAATATTTTTGTAGCAGTGAAGCACAGAAGTCTGGATCCGAAACATCGTTGCTCTAGCTCTTATAGTCTTTGAGCACTAGGCGCTGAAGGGGACGGACAGACGGACGGACGGACAGACAGACAGGGCTCAATCGACTCGGCTATTGATGCTGATCAAGAATATATATAAACTTTATAGGGTCGGAAACGATTCCTTCTGGACGTTACACACATCCATTTTCACCACAAATCTAATATACCCCAATACTCATTTTGAGTATCGCGTATAAAAAGATTAATTGTGTACAAAAATAATTGTTAAAAAAATATCTAAAAATACAGAGTATGCGTCTAACAGTGGAATTGTTTTACATCGACTTCATTTGCGCCATCAAATCCTCCAGGCTGGTGTCATCCACCGGCGCCGTGGCCGCCTGCGTTGCCTCCGCGCTGGATTTTTCCGGTGCCTCATAGGCCAGACGCAGTCCCTGACCCACATCGGTGCTCTGGGACAGATCGGTAGGAGCATTGGAAGGGGCATCTTCCGCCACCAGTTCAATGCCCCAGTCGTTGCTAGCGTGCAGAGGTTCGTCGGTGGGTGCCTCCTCCTGGACGACCACGGGCTTTGGCCTCGCCTGGAACTCCTTCTGTCGCAACAGACAGTTTCGATCATCGCACTGGGGATTCGGTTTCAGCGTCATTTTGGGAAAGAAATCATTCAGTGCATTGTAGCCCAGATAATCGGAGACTTCGCCAAAGTTCAGCAAATACTTGAGGGCGTTCTGCACCAGGAATCCCGCTGTGATGCCCATTGTGGTGGGCAACGAGGCGGCACACACGCCCTCCCGCTTCAGGGTCTTCTCGTCAATGTTCTCGGCCACCACCAGGGGCGGGGCGCAGGCGAAACAGGCAGTGTCCCCGGGACGTAGAAACTGTATATGGCCGGAGACGGCGTTCTCCGACACGCCTGACTCGAACCAGTTGAGGCACTTCTCATTGCAGGCTGCATTGATGGCCATGCGGGCCTCGAAGTTGTCCACACAGCTCAGGACCAGATCCACGGGCTCGCCAGCCACAGTACCATCGCCCGTTATCGTGTTGAGAAAGTTATCGAAGTTATCAATGGTGGTGATGTTGTAGTTGTGCGTCTCGATGCGGACATCGGGATTGATAAAGGTCAGCGTGCGGGCGGCGGCCTCCACCTTGGACAGACCCGCCTGGTCGGGCGTGAAGAACAGCCGATTCATGTTGGCCAGCTCCACCTTGTCGTAGTCAAACAGGATCAGCTTTCCAATGCCGCAACTAAAAGAATACCAATACGAAGAGAACATCAGCTATTCAGATTGCACTTCCTTTCTGGTTCCCTTACCGCGTAAGCATATCGGCCGTGACGCTGCCCACACCGCCCACGCCCACAATGGCCACCGTCTTGTCCCGTATGCGCTCATAGTTCTTGACAATGTTCATGCGCTGGAGGGCCATTAGTCGGCTGTAGGGATTCGAGTCTACCACCTCGGCGGACATGTGTTCGATGCGGTCTCGGCTTTGCCGGATGACGGCCCGCTGCTCCTCCACCTCCGTCTTCAGCTCGGCGATGATGGCCTGCAGTTCATCGATGGCGTTGGTCATGGTCTTGCAGAAGAAAACAACGAAAATTTCGAAAAAACAAATCCGACTTGTGGAATGAGCCCGCTGTCGTCGTGTCACCCAGTGTGACCGCGGACCCACTGATAAAATATACGGTCTGACGAATTCAAGTTCTATTATACATATTCCTCGATTTTGATATTCCGTCGAATATTACTAGCTATATAAAACATTTAGCCATGACTACTTAATTTTATACGATTGATGAATCAATTTTCTACAAGATTGGATGGTTTTTAATCCTTGCTTTTATTGTATTTTGACTAAAACAACGTTTAAACAAAATAGTTCAACAAAAAATCAGTCGCAATGTTGCTGGTATTTGAAGACATGATGCGTGTATAGCCCTTTGTACACCCTATTTCGCTAATTTTATATGTAGATCAAACGCAATTTATTAAGACCTTTTCTCAAATTGATATGTTTTTGACTTATTCATGTGTATTATTAGTATCTTGCATATATTTATCTCTATCCTGATACCTACTGAGCCTTGGAAGACAGACGTATTCACAGTTCTATAACATCCATTACCCCCAGGGTATGTGTGCATGGAATCGATTCAAAAAACGACCAATTGCTCATATTCTTTGTTCCGTTGAATAATACTATCTATATGGAAAATTTAGCCATGCCCACTCAATTTTGTACGATTGATGAATCAATTCTATACATGATTGGCCTATTCGAAATACTTGCTTTTATTGGATTTCTATATAACATTGAAAATTAAATTAATAGATGACAAAAATACCATTTAGCACTAAAAAAAACCACATGGGAGCGCGGCGAAAACCAGTTTCTACAGTATGACCCTCAGAACAGCACCGAAATATACGGTCTCATTTGAAAAATATACCGTAAATATACTGACGAATTCAGTTATATTTTACATATTCGTCGTTTTTGATCTTCCGTGGAATATTACTATCTAGATAGAACTTTCAGCCACGCCCACATAATTTTATCCGATTAATGAATCAATTTTCTACTTAACTGGCTAATTTTAAATACTTGTTTTTATTGAATTTTGCGTAAAAAGAGCGAAAATGGTCAAACCAAAAATAACGAAAGAGGATAGTCGTTCCTATTGTTTAATTTTGAATTTCGTCGAATATTATTAGCTAGATAAAACATTTTGACCACATAATTTTATCCGATTAATAGATCAATTTTCTATTTGACTGGCTTACTTTAAACTTTACTTTATAACCAGCCATTTAAACTTTTAAAGTGTTTCAAAAAAACAAGTTGAATTTTGGTTTACAGACAATTTTGATTATATTAGCCCAACCTTAAATATAACAGCAAGAAAATTTGAGAGAGTACATATTCTGAATCTACCGGAGTGATAAACCAAATAAGTTCGAATTAAATCTAACATACAAAATAAGTAAAAATAGGTAAAGTATGTTTCACTGGGATCTTTCTATTCCTGTTGATTTAATTATTAATTAACTTTATGAAGATTTAGATTCATATCTTCCAAATTCGTATTCCGACTGTATTAGCTTATGACATTTATAGTTAACTTTTTTTTTAATACATATCAGGGGAGCACATGTCCCGTGATACATACATATGTACATATGCATACATATGTATCTCCTTAGATATTCATTAACGCCCAGGCATCGCCTGGAAATCTTAGGAAATTTAAGCACATCAGCGGCTGTTCCGTTTGTATACGCTCTTTGATTGTTTATACCCAACAGGATATGATCACCAAAGACAGCTGTTTCGGTGAGAAAATGAAAGGTGTGCCAATCGATGTTCCATCTCCGAGCTCCACGGCTGAGTCCTCAGAGTCTCACCATACTCAGAGGACTCCCCGGAGAGCCGAGAGAACCGAGTCGCCTCTTTTCGTACCGAGGGAACTTGGGGTATCCGAGTGTTCCATCGGCTGTCAATCCAACGCCAAGACTATTTCAGTGCAAACTTGTACAAATTTCTTGATCTCTAGGATTAATACTTTCGTGGAGGCATTATCTCGGGCACCGAATTGCAAGTTTCCTTGGGGGATTCACATGCATCTGTCTAATCGATCGGGCCCAACGGTGGCAGTTGCGGTAATTTGGCGTAAGGGCCCCAAAAATAGTTGCCACAGACGGACAGACAGACAGAAAGACGTCGAGAAAAGGTAAGAAAAGAAAAGAAAAGACATAAAGCAAGAGTCGGAGACACACCAAATTGATTTTATCAGTAATGAATAATAATGCCATGCCTAATAAGCGACTACTACTGCCGCCTTCCATCTTCCATTTGGGCCGACAACGCTGATGACGACGAAGTGGATGTGAATGGTGACGGCTCATTACATAAACGATGGCGCATTGCACCGACTCCAGTCTGTCTGTCTACCGGTCTGCCGGTCTGCCAGTCAGCCAGTCTGCGGGGCTTATTAGAGTTAATTGTTAACAGCTCCCAACGGGTGACACTTTTTTTGAATTTTTTATCTCTATTTCAAGAGAGTTTTCTCAATTTTTGTATTCCACACTTGATGTTTTTGTATACCCTTTAGACGCAGAGGGTTTTTCAAATGGAATCTTCCCATGCCTCTGAAGGCTCTATTCAAATCCTTCCAAAGGGAAAATATATGTGTGATATTAGCTACTTATAGTATCGTTTGCCCGCAAACAAAGAGGTCGAGAGAACTGAAAGGGCGTACAGGTATCGGTGCAGCAAACACTGATGGTTTCTTTTTTGGTTTTTTTGGAGCTGCATTCATCGGCAGTTCAATCGTCGAACTTGGCAACTGTTGTCCCCCTTAACGCTTAATGGGATTGCATTAGGGCGGGCCAGAGGGAGGGCAAGGCTCCAGTTCCAGGCCCAGACATTATGCAATGCGACGATGCGTTTAACGCGATTGCTGGATCCAAAATTGGCAAACAGAAGCCCAATTGCGGCGCGGCCCAACCATAGCTTTGGTCTGTTTTCCTCCATTGATAATTAAGCCCCAAGCTCAAGTGGAAGATATATGTATGGAGGATATGGCCAGCACACAAATCAGCGGCAACAGCAACAGCAACTCCCGCTGTATTGGCTTTTTTGGTGAGAGCTCTGGGCCGGAGCTTGCCCCAAGGGTTTCCCTGTTTCGGGCCATGACCTGCCCCAAGTGATTTGCGTAACACAATGGACGGGGGTGTAGGGCGGCAGAGACGTTGGTCGCCCCTTGTTTTTGGCTTTCCCAGCCAGTCACGACCGTCGCAATTTTCTTGTCACTGTCGCCCGAAAAAAGCGCGGCGCCGCGGCACACGCAACAAAACGAAGCATTAACAGCAGTGCCCGCGCAGTGGCGGCAGTGGCAGCAGCGGCAGCAGCGGTAGTTGAAACGGCAAACAAACAAAGCAGTGGCGACACAAACAACGGCAGCAATGGTAACAGTGGCAGCAACAGCAGCCGCAGCCGCAGCAGCAGAGGCAACTCCCGATTGCCGCGCTGATAAGAAGGCGGACAAATTGTGGATAAAATCGAGCCGAATGTCAAATGATCTTTCAAAGATCAATTATATAATTATCGATCAAAAGCTATCGATGGGCGGTTGACAGTGCGAGTAATACTACTAAAGGTCTCTATATGCTGTTTGCACTGGGACTGCGTCAAGTTTCTTTGCAGGAGACCCAGTTTTTTGTTTCATAGGATTAGCATTGGGGTCAAAAAGCTCCGTCTAATCGACATGAAACATAATCCTTAAAACACTGCTGGATCGATGGTTTTCATGGTGTGAGGAAGAACACCCACAAACTCCATAAAGAAATGGCTGAAAACGATAACTAAATATGAAATATGAAGTCTCTATAGTCGCTCAAATCGCTACAACCAGTGTCTGCCCATGTAAAATCCCACCCCGGGTCATTCCGTTATCGAAATTCCATATAAAAAGGCTTTACATAAGTTTGCTATAAGGCTTGTTCCAATTTCGACTCTTCCCCTCTAATTAATCGGCAGATATATGGGTGATATGTGTCTATCTTTGCAGGTCTTTAGTTTTTGAAACTGAAGTAGTGTTGGCAGTGAACGATTTAATCACCAATTAGATCTCGATTACCCCAAAACGAAGTGGCTACTATTATTTTCGAATCAATACCGATTCCAGACTCTGCTCTATTCTTCCACGGAGTCCCAAAGCCCAGCTCTCTCTCTCTCTCTCGTATACATCTATGTGGATATGCTCTCCTCGGGCAGGGTATAAATAGTTTGCTCGCAAAAACAGCAACAACCGCAATGAACTTGCTGCCTGCTGCTGTTGGAGTCTCGGCCTCTGCCGCTGTCGCTGTCGCTGCCGCTGCCACTGATGCTGCCTCTGGCTCTGGCTCGGCCTCTGCCAGTGCGGCTGCTTCGCTGCTGCTGCCTCGGCAAGCAGTTTCCATTTCATTTTTAAGCTAACGTTCAGCGCGTTCAGCGTTTTAATATTTAATTGTCGTCGATCGCGAGCGGTTGCCATTGCTGTCCATAGCTGACCATTGCTGACCGTTGTTTGGTTCCACTGTGCCACTGCCACGGACTTACCGTTACCGTTAAGCGTTGTGTGTGCCCCGTGCCCCCTGTGCCACTGCCACTGCCGTTTGGCCAATATTTACCGCGATCTTTTTGTTCAGTGATATTTGATTTGTTGTTAAGTGCCACGCCTGTTGCCAGGATCTTCTCCAGAATGCCGACCCCTTCCGTGGCCTGCCTATGCCTGGCTCTACTGTTCGTCGCGTGGCATCCACATCGTACCGTCGGCCGCAGCTACAGCAGCGGCCTGATCTTCTACGAGCTGGCCACGCACACGCCCTATCTGCCGCCCACGGTGAGCGTGTCGCGGGGTCGCAACCTGGCCAGCGTCAAGTACTCGTCGAAGGGCTCCATCTGGTCCACATTTGGACAGCCGTGCGAGTGCCGTGGCCCCGTCTGCGGATGCTGTGCCGGCCTCAAGGTGGATCAGTACAAATTCGATCAAAAAGGTGAGTAGGGGTCGACCGGGTCGTGAAGTGTCAAATACCAAAAGAGCAGATGTCTTTGATGGATGAAGGATATTTTCCTTTCTTGATAATAGGCAATGGGCATGGACCCCCCTGCTCTCCCAGAGTTCTGTGATAATAGACCAGGGATCCGAAAAATTAGGCAAGAGGCAATTAGCTAGAGATGCGAATAAGAAATAGTTTTGGGAATATCAGATTAAATTAGAAAAGTTTTGCCCTTGGATTGACTCAAAAATGCATCGATTGGTATCATTCCGATGACGTTTTATTCCGCTTGAATACAAGATCAGTTTCAATCAGGAATTATAAGTTCTAAAGCTCCTTCCGACGATCATCTATCATCTATTGAAACTACTGCAATGATCATGGCTATCGCACTGCTTGATCTGCGGATAGAGATGCGATCTACAGTAAGTGCTGTCAGTGATCGTGAACCAGAGTCAAGAGCAGTTGTGCTTCCACATATGGTGGTACCAGACCCTAGAAAGACACATAGATCAAGACCTGGTCTCTGGCACTTTGGCATTCCCAGTCCTAGTCGTGGCAGATGCTCCGGGGGGCCTGGCCGATTTCCTTGGCAAAGATCTCGGCGGTGTGTGGTGGCCGCATGCCAGAGACAACAATAGCAATAACAGTGGTTTAGCTGTACTTGAATCTCGTTTCGATTTCGTTTCGTTTCGTGACATGGTTGCATTTGCCAATCAAAATGCCACAAATTGTTGGCGCTTGGAGCGCTCTGCCTGGCTCTGCCTCTGCCTTCGCCTCGCTTTGGTCTAGGTCTGGCTCTGGTCTGGATTTGCGAAGCGAATCTGAATTTGCCACCCGCAACTTTCATTCATTGAATGGAATCGTTTCATAGTCTCACTCTCTTGTGCTGCCCCTAACTCACTCGTTTCCCCGCTCTCTGTCTCTGTCTCGTTTTTTGCAGTATGCGCCAACGTCACGTTCGTGCCACAGCTGGAGGAGGCGCAGCTAGAGGTGTACCTCAATGAGCGCCCCTCGTCGAAGTACGGGATCTCGGTGCGGAATCCGTCGCCGTTCTGCATACCGGTCATGATGGGGGTGCCCATGGCCATGTGCGTCCAGATGACCGACGTCGCGCTCGTAGGCAACAACCTCAACATGTGCATGGACTTTGTGGTGCGCCTGGCCACCACCGATCTCTTCGAGATGCACTTCCAGTGCATGCGAATGGGCCTCGACGGTCTCCAGTATGTGGACAAGAATGGTAAGCCCGTTCTGCCTCCCGCCGAATCATCAAAGGGCGACGATGGGGATGACGATGATGATGATGATGGTGATGATGAGGAGCAAATGGAACCGGGAACGGGTTCTGGTGCGGAGTATGACTATAACGAACCGGAATTGCCAGAGGAGAAGGAGAAGCAGCAGGAGGTGGCAGAGGAGGAGGAGCAGCCTGAACCGTTGCCGATTGAAAGTGAAATGCTAATGGCCAGCGATCAAGACCTGGCCAACAAAGAAGACCAAGTGGAGGCCGTCAACGAAGAGGAGGAGGAGGAGGAGGAGGAGTTGGAGGAGCCGGCAAAGGTAGCGGCAGAGGCAGATACAGAGGCGGAGGCGGAGACACCTGCCAATGCTGGCGAGAGTGGCCTGAAGCCAAACGAAGTAATTGAAACAATTACCAATTCAATAAGAGCCACTGAAGCGCCTCCAACAGCAGCGACGACAACAACGACATCGACTACGACCACGACAACTAGGCAGCCGATCATTGTTGTTAGTGAAGACACATACCACGAGCAGATCGATGGCGGGGAGGAGACCGAGAAGGAGGAGGCGAAGGTGGAAGAGGTGAAGATGTCAGCTGAGGAGGGGACGGAGCCAGCGGCAGAGGCAGAGGCAGAAGCACCCACAGTGGCAGAAGAAATCGAAAACGAAAACATTAGCGACAACGAGATAAATGTGGATGATGACGATAGAAATGGCGAAGACGCTGGGAAAGATGCCAAGGTGAAGGAACCCCCAGCAAAAGTGCAGCCGGAGATAGAGACGGGCACGGAGACGGAGACGGAAACAGAGACAGGCACTGAGTTATATGATATGCCAGTGCCAGTGCCAGTGGCAGAGGCAGAGTTCAACGATGACACAGCTGCCGAGGAGGCCAATAAAGCGGAAGAAGCGGACGTAGATGATGCTGAAGAGGGAGCGGATGGCGAGAGTGAAGATGGGGCTGAGGTGGAGGAAGATAACACTGATGGTGATGCGGAGGAGGAGGAGGCGGAGGCGGAGGCGGAGGAGGAGAACGAGGAAGATGAGGAGGACGAGGACGACGAAGAAGAGGAGGCTCAAACAGAGGTCACAAGCCTTGCAAGTAACTCCCAAAATAGCATTGAAAGCGCTGCAGTGCATCAAGCAGTGGATGACAAAGCAAATGCAAGCAGTGCCATACAGACAGCGAAAACGACAACGACGACAGCAGCAGCTGCCGCCAAGTCGTTATCCAGGCGCCTGCATCGACTGCATCGGCAGCGTCGCCGCAACGGCAGAGGCAGAGGCAACGGTAACCCCACCGTCAATGCCTGATAGCAAGCCAAGCAGTCTCTCCTGTGCTCTTAATTTACTCGTAATTTGTAATTTGTAATTGTTAATGAGTTGTTAATGCTAAACGAACGTTGATGCTTGTTAATTAATACGTATTTATTATTTATTGAAACGAACACTCAAAGCCAAACTCAAGCGAATAAAGCATAATTTAAATCCTAAACACTCGGTTCAAAGCAGGGCAGGGCTGGGCCGGTCGTAAGCAATGGTCGTCAAGCAGTAGAAGCTCCAGGAGTTGCTTTGGCTCTCTCTCTCTCTCATCTTGGAATCAGACTGAAAGTTAGATGAAAGCCAAGCGCAACCGCTGGAGCTCCTTCAGCTGTAGGCATTGTTGTTGCTAAGGGAGTGGAGCGAGGACACCGCACTGATGGTCCGCTTGCGGGGCTTGCTCCGCAGGGACTGCTCCGAGTGGCGCAGCTTGCGCAGGTTCAGGTCGTTTTCGTTGATTGTGTTGCAAATGGCCAGGTAGGCCATCAGCTTGGTGGACTTTAGTTCCTTGGCCAGCTGACTGGCCTTCGCCAGGGACTCCTTGAGGCGCTCGAAGCGACTGAGGACCGCGTGCACCTGGCACACCAGGAAGATGCTGTTGTAGCGCCAGATCAGGCTGTTGCAGCTGCGGGCCTCTACGGATGAAGTGGTCACGTCACCAATGGATAGTGAGGAGGGAGCAGGGTGGGGACTCACCATTGAAGGCGCTGCGGGCCAGGACCAGGCTCTTGTCGAAGCGGAACTCCTTGAAGTGTCCGCGGGCCAGCTCGAAGCGCAGATAGGCCCGCTCGATGGGGTAGCGGGAGTTGCGCAGACGCTCTTCCAGCTGATCCATCTTCTGGCTGCGATTTCAAGATGATTACGAGATGATGAAGGGGGGAAAACTCTCCTTTCTTCGTACTTACTTGGATCGATTTTGGCGCGCCTCCTCCTTTTTGATTTCCATGTAGAGATTGGGTCCTCCGAAGCTAACGGTCATGTCCTTGGCCCGCTCTGGCTGCAGCAGGTACAGCAGCAGGCGGTTCTTCGGATTCAAAAAGTCCACGTTCGCTGGCAACGCACACTGATCCACATGGGCCAGGGCCAGGGTGTTATACACGTCGTTGACGAACTCCCACTTCCAGGGCAGCGTGCGGTGCGTCTTCAGGTCAATAATTTTGGACATTATGTGCTCGATGTAGTTCGTCAGGCCCTCGACGTTGCCCGCCGCGCGCAGCTGCCGCACATCCCGCAGCATTCGGACGCAGTCGCGCCTGGTCTGGTACTCCACGTGGAACAGATACCTCTCGCGGCTCCTCTCGCACCTCTCGCTCGTGCTCTGGCATTTCGCCGTCTTGCTGTTGTACAGCGGATTGCGGGCGTGCATCATTTTCTGCAATTCAGAAGTGGATATTCACTCTATCCCTCTGCCCCCCAAGTGGACAAGACCTCACCATGAACTTCCGGACGATCCCATACTGCTCGCCACTGAGCTGCCGCAGATAGGGGGTGGTGCCGTGCATCAGCGGGTTCAGAAAGATCTGATTGCTGCGCAGCTGCTGCAGCAGGGCCACGTCCACGGCACTCCTGCCCAGGTACTGGTGGTTGTAGAAGCTCTTGCTGGCCCGCCGCCGAGCCCGCTCCAGGGAGGTCAGCGTTTCTATCTTCCTCTCGAGGACGCTCTGGACGTCGCATTGTTGCTGCTCCTTCAGCTTCTTCCACAGCGGACGGGGCACAAAGGCGGCTAGCTCCTGCCGACGCCGCAGGACCTCATCGATGGCGGCGCTATTCTGCTGCAAGAATGGTCCGAGCGTGGCGCCAACGGTGTCCTCGAACACGCCCGTAATCTGCACAAGCGGTTGAAGAGGTCCCAAAGGAATGCTACTGACTGCCATGGACTCACCTTCTTCTTGCGAACGTCAAAGCGACGTTGCATCTGGCTGGCGGGATTGTAGAAGCGTGCCTCCGTGTGCAACGTCCGGAGGGTTTCTTCGAATTCGTTGCAGTCGAAGAGGGCGTCGCACTCCGCAATGAGGACGTCAGCGGAGCCCACCACGTTGTTGTCCACCTGCTTCTGGGCCAGCCACATCATGTCCTTGGCCCGAGTAGCGTCCTCGAAGGCTCTCTCCGACTGGGCAATGGATCGCTGGCACAGGCTGCGATGGAACAGGGCCGTGTAATCATTCCGGCAGACTCCCTGCTCGATCGTGCAGTTTCGTATGGATGCGGGCATCTCGGGGCTTGGATACTTGCAGGAACGTTTCTGCTTCTGTGGCTCCTCCTTGCAGACGGCCAGGGCGCGGCCGTAGCACTCGATGGCCTTGCTGTTGAGCAGGCGCCGGCTGTAGTACTTGCCCCAGTCCATGAAGAGTGGCGCCTGCACGCAGGGCGGCCAGTCGATGTGCTGCCAGGCAAAGGCCTCCGGTGCAAGTTTGCCGACTCCTCCTGCTGCTCCTGCTGCTCCTCCCCCTCCAGCCAACCCAACCGTCTCACCCGACACTGCCATAGCGATAGTGGCTAATCCTCAAAATAACAGTTAATTTAACAGTAAATTGGTGAAATTTTCACATGGAAATTTGGCAAAAACAAGCGCAAAGCAATTTCTAAGCCCCAACCGTAGCTGATAACGAAATCGAAAATGATAGATGAATCTCGAATTGAGAATTCCTTCAATGTCTGCTTTGCCTGGGAAAAGGTTTCCATTTCCATTTTGGATGCTAATGGGTTAATGCTTAGCTCTCCCACTCCCACACCCACCACGGAGCATTTCGAGTTGCCCCCAAATGTTGCAATAGCTAAATTGGTGTAGGGAAAGGGTCAGCGAAGCGAGACGGGGCGTGGGGAAACCCCAAAAAGAAGCGCCGAGACGCCCAAAAAAATATGCACCCAGAGAATTCACTTGGCTATAAGTTTTTATACCATTTTATTTGATATTATAATGAAAGTATTTTATTGAAATATATGCGCAATTAAAAATAGATATATTTCATATTTTAATTAAATATATTTCATACAAATTTAGTGTAATATATTTTATTTTAAAAGGTTTTATAGTTATATTAATTATTATTACATTTTTTTATTGCCATGTTTGTATTCAAAACCCGAATATTTAATAGAATTACGACTGTATGTATTTCTTTTTGATATGCCAGTTTTCTCTCAGTGTGGAGTATGCAACAAAAGAAAGGTACGATTAAGGCAACAAAACCAACACCAACACCTGCAAAAAGCAGGCCATGAAAAACAATAACCCTCATAATCGGAAAATATTATATAACACTCTTAATGCCGCAGCTACTGTTGCCCCTGCCGAACCCGTACACGTACTTTGTACCGCCACTGTGACAGCCAGAAATTATTTAATTATTCGTGTTTCTTCCTCCGTGCCGACTGTCTGCGGCTCCGTTGGGGGTATCATCTGGCAGGGCGATTATACGACAATTATTACAATATTTGTTTATAATTTTTAATTGCTTTTATTTTTCACATCATTCGTAAATGGCTTTTGTTTTTGTTTTTGGCTTTGTTTTCGTTTTCGTTTATCTTTTCCTTTGCTTTCGGTTCATTTTTTTTTTGTAATTTTAATTTCGCTTCTTTATATTTTGTTGTTGTTGGATTTTTGTCTTTGCATAAGCGCGACGTGAATTAAATTTTGTGGTCAATGGGAGAGAGGTGTAGAGGAGAGGTGGCCAACGACTACTCTTCATTTGTATGCCAATGGGAGTGTGGGTGTCGTGTCGCTTCCATTTCGTCGACTTTTTTGCGTGTATCTTATTTGCGGAAAGAAAGTTCCCAGACGAAAAAAGTGCCACAAATGCAGCGGGACGGGGTACCAGCTGTGGGCAGTCGCCAATTAAATGTTGTTTTTTTTTTCCTGCTGCTACTGGCTTTTATTATTTGGCAGAAGCGCAACAAGCACTGGTAGACCAGAGTCTTGCGAAAAAATGTGGCCAAAAACAAAGGCAATGTCGAGAAAACGGCAGACGGCAGGGGCGGCAGCTTCGCATTTCAATTAAATGTCGCATCGGCAGCAGCAAAAAAAAAAAAATAGTTTTACTGTATTTTTGGGTATTTTGGAATATGAGGAAATTATACAAGGTTGTCCGCTCTCGCAACGCGCTCTCTTTGCGGGTCTTACCTAGCTCGTTCTTCGCTCTCTTATCAACCATGGCGTCAAAGCGCTCTCAGCAGACCCGAAAGAGAGTAGCGGTTTCATCATGGGCACGTGTGTCTCTTGCTCTCTCGATCTGTTCTCTTTCTTATTCTATGCGCTCTCTGCAAGTAGAGTACATATGTGTATTGGGCTAAGACCTCATTTGCTTGCAGCAATTACAGTGGGCTTAAGAACTAATCGTACATATATGTACAGTGGCATTAAGGGGATAATACTCATACTGTATGTGGGTGCTTCGACAACTGTTTCTGTAGTACAGTAGTACAGTTCACTGTCTGCCCAGAGCTGAAGAAGATCGATTGAGAGATTCCAAAATCGCAGAAAGTTTGGAAGTTGAAGTATTTATAATGATAAGTCGCCTGGCAGCGACTTCACCCTCTTTCACCTCGACTTTATTAGGCAATTACAAACGAGGGGGAACGTTGTGAGTTGCTGCGGAGACCGTAACTCTACATTTATACCCGATACTAAGTCAGTATGGCTCTCCTCCGGCAGACGCCGCTAATATATATAGACACGACAAAGAGTGCGTGCGAGAGAGACCGAAAATCAGCCTGAGCGTGACGTCGGGCGCTGCGTAGCCACTGCAAATTGATTTGTTGATCTAGGCTACAAAAATAATCCGAACTAGATCAGATTGAGCAATCTGATAGATATGGTCATTATCTATGATTCTGCGTTTTTAGTTTTCTCCAATGTGCAGTATTGTGGATGCAACAGATTTTCGTCCTTTGTGTAGCCGAAAAGGGGTGGGGCGAAATTCTGAGATATACGTTTTATAGTGAGATCTAACAGAAGTGCGGATACCAAATTTGGTTACTCTAGCCTTAATAGTCTCTGAGATTTGTGGATGCCCCAGATTTTCGTCCTTTGCGGGGGCGGAAGGGGGTGTGGCGAAATTTGGACACGAAACGGTCAAAGTCCGATATCACAGGAGTGTGGATACCAAATTTGGTTGCTCTGGCTCTTATAGGTTCTGAGATCCTTGAAATCATATTTTGCAATTGGCAAAACCGACCATGAAACCTTTGTGTTAGAGAGAGACAGAGCGAGAAAGAATGAAATTGTTTTCTTGATTCTGGCTATAATAATTTTACGATCTGGTTGAGATTTTACACTCTAGAAGATATGATCATCCTCTACGATTCTGCGTTTTTGGTTTTATCGTATCTTTAAAAATGTGGATGCCACGGATTTTCGTCCTTTGTGGGGGCGGAAGTGGGCGGGGCGAAGTTTTGAAATATTTTTGTAGCAGTGACATATCACAGAAGTCTGAATCCAAAACATCGTTGCTCTAGTTCTTATAGTCTTTGAGCACTAGGCGCTGAAGGGGACGGACAGACGGACGGACGAACGGACGGACGGACGGACAGACGGACAGACAGACAGACAGACAGACAGGGCTCAATCGACTCGGCTATTGATGCTGATCAAGAATATATATACTTTAAGGGGTCGGAAACGATTCCTTCTGGACGTTACACACATCCACTTTTACCACAAATCTAATATACCCCAATACTCATTTTGAGTATCGGGTATAAAAACAGGAGGAGGAGGAGGTTGCTGGCCACCACTTAGTATAGAATGTAAGTCAATTATTTAAATAGTTTGCAATGATTCAAAGTGTCTTTCTCAGCGTTAAGCTCATGGGACCGTGAATTTGTGGAATAGACCTACTTTTTGGGATACAACCTCGATAAAGTGGTAGCTTTTGCTTTTTTTAATAGATTTTCGCATCAAAGCTAATGAAATGATATGCCAATTGGTTGAATAAAGAGGCTGTATCATGGCCTTTTACACTCAGATTTATATAAACCATATCTTAAACGCACTGCATGCACATGTTAAGTGTTTGAATTTCCTTAGCTCAGAAATCATCAATTTTATTGGCTGTGGCGCTGCCCGATTGGCCACCTCGACCCCTCCCTTGACACCGCTGCCCAATTAGCCATACCGCACACGCCCTGTTGCATGCACAAACAGCCAGGACTACAGCAGAGCCTGTCAACGTGTCCCAGAGACGCACACTCGTATGCGACATTGCTGACTTTGCATGTCCAGGTGCAAATTGGGCTCAGCCCGGTCGGTTTGGCGCCGCTGAACGTTGACATTGTGTCAACAGCGAAAGAACATGCTGCCGCACACATGGCTCCGATGAGGAGCCATCTAAGCCGGAAACTGGTAAGGGGGTTGATGGAGGCCCAATGACACGGGAAGACGTTGGGGTAATTGGCCGGAATATGTGCCCGGGCAGAGCACTCTGTCGGCATGACCCTGACCCAAAGAAGACCTCAAGTTCGCACTAAGTCACAGTGGTGGCCCGCAAAAGTGGAAGCCTGTGAGAGCAAAATGATTGCCTCACAAGTTCTGCGTTGGGTTTCGGGTAGCCTTTAAAGCTGTTCGTGTTGTTTCTACTCCCTATAGAGAGCACTTGAGTAGTAGGAATGTGGTTCAGCTTTTTGACTGGGAAAGCCTGAAGCCGAACTCTAAATAAATATGCTTATTGCCAGGAAATATAATGTCCGAAAAATACACTTAATTCCACTATCTATACGATCAATGCCAAAAGTAGAGGTACAGACAAAAGTATTAAAAGTAGTTCCGTCTGGGTCTTATCTCATTTGTTCGTCTTCGCTGCTAATTCATTTCCAGTACATTACCAACAACATATCCTCTACTTAACCATTTTCGAACATACATACCCTTTCACGTATATAGTTTTCCTCAGGCTTCTGTTACCATGGATCCTATATTTAATCGTCTAGTAATGATAATAGAACTCTATACCAGACGGTTACAGCCTGGGTCTGGGTTCTATTTCTCGTAGAACAATAGCAGATGACTTGTTCTTTAATACACACATATTTTACAGAGCAATGGTACCGGTACTACAGGGAACAAATTGTGTTTAGGGGATATATATGAGGACTGGACCACCAAGGTCGAGGCCACCATAAGTCAGCCTTGCATTCTGTGTAAATGATGAAAACTTTTGAAACTATTACATTTCAAAACAGTTCCAAGAACTGCTGGAAACTCTCGATCTCTTCAGCACACGTGGCATCCCCGGGGTATTGACGCCGATGACACAGTGCCCCGCCAACGCTTCTGTCAGAACTTTTAGCCTTTTCTCGGCTAAGTTTATGAGTGGAGGGAGTCAGAGTGAGGCCACAGCGAGATTGATATTTGGCAGTCGGAGAGAGAGAAAATAAGTTAGAAACAGTTGAGTTATTCAGAAGGCACTACCGTTTGAGGCTTAATACTCCTACTAACGCTTCAGTGTATTTGTTTTGAGTAATTAGTGCCGACAGTGAGAGATATTTTGACTTGGATTCTGCCTCTCTCTGGCTTGGACTCATATGTGTCGCTGCATCACCTGCCAT